CAAGACACCTCAGCTATATCCAAAGGAAAGCCAAAGCATTATAGTGTGGCAGAGCTTAAAGTGTGTCTCTGGAAAGAAAAAAATATATAAAGCTACACAGAAAATATTTCTGGGCATCAGCTTCTGTTTCCTTTAAGGGATGGGAGGATGGTACTGAAATTGTTCAATTTAATTTAAAGTCAAATAAAAATGTGAAAGGCTAGGGTGCATTAATAAGATGATCCATCTGCTTATAATAATAGGATAATTCACATCTTCATTGTCAGAGCAGAAAGCTTCCAGTAAGGTCAGTCATTAAACTCAATATGTCTCATTCTTTGGTGCCGTCTCACTTAGATCTCAGTGCCACTTGTCTGCCCTTCTTTTCCACTATGCACCTATATTGCAAATTTAGTTCCATTAGGTAGATGCTGCACCATTATGAAGACTGATTCCATCATTTTCAAAGTGCCAAGCCATTTAAATACGGTACAGGCTTTGGTCATGTTTAATCCAAACATTTACACACGTCCAGCTCCTTCTTATCCTTTTAAATAGGATACAGGGCTTATTTTTAAATTACATCCTCATTCATGCTCTATAAAAGCATCAAGAAAAACTGTCCACGGGATTTAAATCCTGGTCCACAGGTGCTGCTTCCAATTCCTGGCATGGCCATTACATCCGAGCCCCTGCATAATTCTCGGCACGACACTCTTGTGTCAAGGCAGAAAAGATAAAATAGAAACAGCCATTTTTTTCTCTCCCAGAAATTATACTACGCTGAAGTGCACTGTAGCTTTTGTTTTATTCTGTATTGATTCCTAATTTAAAGAGCATTTTTAAATAAGGGTCCCTAGAAAAGAGACAGCAACGGGAAGACAAGATGCTTGAAATACTTACCAAAAGCTGTGAGGTGTGCAGGATTTCTTTAATCACGTGGAGTTGATTAGATGTGCATCTATTTGGGGGAGGTTTCTGTTGATAAAATGAGTCTCACCAGGATTGAGTGCTATGACTAATACCAACCTAACCCTCCCAACAGTCCTGAACCACCCATGCTTCCCTCAACCCTTGGGACTATCTTTTCCACAAATTGCCTCTCCGATTGGTTTCTAGTATCAGCTATGCAATTCAGCTGTATAACAAATGTACAGAGGCCCTGAAGGTTTAGATATATTGCATTCTTTCTTCCATTGCTATACAGATATTGGTACAGTAAGAAATCCCCCTAGTCAGTTTGGAAAAGCAGTTTGGCCAAACTACTTTTTGCTTAAACAAACAAACAAACAAACAACTGGGTCTCAACTTGCTCTCTGGGTACCTTGTCTTGTCCTGTACTTAAAAAAAAAAAAAAAAAAAAAATTCTACCGGCACAGTGGGGGCTGCAGAGGAGTCTGTGCAGTCGCCCTGGGTGCACTTGTGTGATAGGCTGCCATTTGTCCCCACTCACCTAGAGAGCTTGTGGATAGCCTGAGAGGTTTGCGCGCACGTGTGTGCGTTGGATCAAATTTTCTAAAGTTGCCATGGGGAGAGAATAGAAGGAAAGTCCTTCAAAAAGAAAATTATTTTCACAGCATCATCACCAGAAAAACGCCCCTGCAATGGATATCTTTGAAGGTCGATTGCCGTCTGAACTAATTGGGGAAAGAGGGCGAGAGCGTTCAGGTTTGCTCACCTTTCGCAATGGGTCTCAGAGAAGTGAGCGGAGCCGGGCGCTTCCTGCCCCAGAGGTCTGCGCTCTTTCTAAGCAGAACGAAAGGCTCCTCCACTTGCTTCTTGTTCATGTCACTGAGAGAGGTCAGCACCGTGCCTCTTTTACTTGCCACTTCTGGTTATTGGGCAGGTTCTGCTCCGAAAGTCATCTTTTGTTGTGAGGACATTAATCTTCTCGCCAGGGATGAAATGCTTGGGAAGAAGGTGGGGTGGAAGCGGGAAAGCGGATTTCAAAAGCCTCGAGATCACAGCCGCAGAGCATTATTACAGACCTTTCCTGAAAATCACCCTCAGTCTGCGAGAATGCCCTACATTAGACCAAGAACGGACAATAGGCTTGGGAATATTAGGCACGAAGATGGACTGGCCGCAGCCCCTCTGCTGCGGGGAGGGAGAGTGGCGCGAGCGAGGAGGCGCTGGGACTCCTTCTTGGAGCGGGTCTGCGGTGACTGCCAGCTGGTTACCACAGATCCTTGCTGAATATCGCGCCATTAAACAGTATGAGAGAAAATAAAAATGTATGTTTATGGGTACTAAATAGTAAGTGCCCTTTCAAATGCTCTTTAGTGGCTAGGCTTTCAAGTCACCGTGGAGCACCCTCAGAAAGCGGGAACGGCGCGTTTAGCAGATTTCTGTGGCTGTAAACCACCCCGAGATGCTGGGTGAAAGAGCACTGAGATTTGTGAACAGCCCACATTCTATTCCCTTGAAGTCGTATTCAGAAAGGGAAAACAGCCTTCTGCCACATATATTCTTGAATTCGTAGTTTTAATTGAAAAATTGGTGATGTCTCAGCTGTGTTTTCCCAGAACTTGAGTGACAATCAATGTGTGGTGCCACATCATAATGGATATACTTCCTGGGGCAATCAAGGAAGGAATATATATTTAGATGGCGAGTCAGAGTGAGCAGTGGGTAAATATGAAAAAAAAATACTTGTGGTGTGAAAACACAGATATAATTAAGCGCATTTGCAGACTAAGTACCGTTTTTGTAGTGCACTGTTGACGGTGTTTGTACTTGTTATGTTAAATGTACTCCATGTATGGACAGACACAGGCCAAAGTAACAGAATAGGAAGTCCAGAAATAGACCAGAAACATAACAGACTTTAGCGTCTGGAACAGGGAGCATCTCAAATCAGCAGGGGGGAAAAGATAGATTCTTCCATCATTTGAGATGGGGTAACTGGATAGCCCTCTGGAAAAATAAAGTTGGATCTGTATCTCATACCCCAGCCAAGGAGAGTGTTTAAGTATTAATATTAAATGTAAAAAAAGAAAAACAAAAGAAATCATACAAGTACTACAAAAATGCATGGGAGGGTTTCTTTATAGCCTTAGAATGGGCATGGAAGAGAAAAGACAGACAGAAGCTGTGAAAGATTTGTGTGACTACATAGAAAAACAGAACTTCCGCATGAAAAAAACTCCATATGCAAAGTCAAAAGACAGCAAATGGGAAAAATATTTTCAACTCATAACACAACACAGGGCAAATTTCTCAAACACATAAAGAGCTCCTAGAAATCAATAAGAAAAGTATCAACACAATAAAAGAAATATGGGCAAAGTATTCAAAAGAGGAATAACAAGAAAAGAAATATAATTGGCTCTAAAACATATGAAAAGATACTTGACCTCATTAATGAGAGAAATTTAAATAAAAACTGTAGAGTCGTACTATGTTTTACCTATCAGAGTGACCAGAGTTTCAAAAGTTCAATATTACCCCCTTGTTGGCAAGGTATGGGGAAACAGGGACTTTTGTACACTGTTGATGGGAGTGTAAATGAGAACAACCCCTACAGAGGGCAATTTGACAGTTTTCATCAAATTTGCAGACGCAAATATACTCTTTAACCTAGAAATTTCACTTCCGATATTCTATCTTTCACATATATTTGCATACATAAAAAATGACAAATACACAAAGTTATTTGTTATAAAAGCAAAATTTTGAGGACAACCTAAATGTCCGTCAATAGAAATTGATTAAATAAATTGTAGTACAACCATACAATGGAATACTATGCTCTTGTATTCCCTTGAAAAAGAAGAAAACGGAAGCTCTCTATGTTCTGATCTAGAAAGACAACCAAATACAGGGTGAAGTGAAAAGTGCAGAACGGTGTGAACAGCCTGCTGCCCTTTGTGTGCGAAGAGGCAAAATAAGGATCTCTATTAGTGTTTCCTAATACTTGCATAAAGAAATTCTGGAAAACTACGAAAAAAACAACAATGTTTATACGTGGAGGATTAAGAGAGAACTAGATAATGTCAGGGGTGGGAGGGAAGCTTTTCATAGTAAATCTTTTAGTCTTTTTATTTTTTAATTATAATTTACCAAATGTTACCTACTTAAAACTCTGTATCATTAAACTAATTAAATGAAATTGTTAAATAAAAATTAAAGTAAATCATTCCAAAATTAAATACACAAATGGAAAAGTTTATAGTGAAAAAAATTATACTAATACTAATAAAAGTAATTACTGATTAGGGCAGGAATATGTCTACCAATGCAATGATGAGAGAAGGTTAAGAGGAGTTTTTTATAAGCACTATTATTAGTTTGGTCCTTATCTATGAACTATCCCTTAATTTATCATGTATCTGTGACACATCTCTCCATTTTCTGGTTAAAAAATTTGTGAAATGGAAAATTAAATTTAGGAACGATTATATTTATTCTGGTTAGTTTCGACAACATTTTTTTACCATTTGAAGAGAAAGTTCTCTGTTGTAGTCAGCTCTAATCTTTAAAACATCATTTCCACATTCCCAAAGTAGAAATTGACCCTAACACTATCTTACCACTAAAAGAAAATCTCCCAAACTCTTAATTCTGCGTCAGTCCTTGCTTCCAACATGCTCTCTTGGGGTTAAACAGAACATAAGGTTAAAGCAGCAGAGCCTCGAGAATCAAAGAGTTGATGCCACAATTGTATAGTTAAAAACTATATTTACTCTAAATTGCAAAATGGTAGGTATTGTATGTGATGTGTAAGTTGCAGCAATTGTTCTAGTAATAAATGTAATATTCAGCAGCATTTTTCACAGATTACTCAGTTCATTATTAGTGCCATTTTGCCTCTTTATAATAATGTGCACTTTTCTTCAGAAAGAGCTTGGTTATTTCTTTGGTTGGGCCTATTTGCTCCTTTTTTATGTGAGATTTTTCAATACTATGAAATGATGCAGAGCGAAAAAGGTCCATCCACTTCACTTGTGTTGCCTCCCGCGTTACCTAAACCACAACAGAACAATGACAGACAACAGAGGCTTTCTCCTCTCTAACAATTCAGTCACCATGACAACCAGCAGAAGAACGTTGGGCCAGAAAAAAGCATTGAGCTTGAGGGACTAGACTAATCAAAAAATGGAATAACATGGCAACAATTACACTGATGAGTGAGAGGGAAGCGGCACATGCATTCAGACACCTATGGCATCGCAGGCTCCGCGCATTCAGCGTTTCGTGTTTAGGGCCTTGTGTTTTTGAGAGCAGGTAAATAGACAGGATCGAATTGTGTAACAGAATGTCAGTGCTCTAGTTAAATAGAAAATTCCTTTCCTTTGGCTGTGCTACTTCAAGCGCATTGAAGAGGGTTTAGGGGAGATGAGGTTTTGAAGTGAAATGTGTAATAGATACAATATGAGTGCCACAAGGCAACATTATTTAGTTTTAAAAAAGTAAACTTGGGTGTCTCCCACGCCCCCCGCCTTTTTTCAAATATATAGGCACAAATAAAGGGAGGATGCTGCTGGGTTAGTGGCCGGCACTATCTTAAATCCGGCTTCGTGTCGGGAACATACATGCTTCACCTCGCTTAACATGTCTCTGGGGCATATTGATTCCTGTTGACGGCAGCAAGCAGCCGGATTTCAGCAGCGTTGGCTCTAACGTCTGGAGAAGTTAAGCTGAAAGGGGCAGGACGGTTCTGTGGGTGAGACAACAGGATGCAGGAGGCTGGTACTTATCCTGCCCAACTCTTGCCTCCACCACTGCCTCGGTTTACCTCCTTCAGAATTCCCTCCTTCCCCGAGGAGGTCAAGATAACGTCTATGTGTATTTCCTTTAAATGGCATTACTTCTTGATGGCAGATATAGTTGTTGGGTTGCATATGCTGACCTTTGCCTCAATTTCTCTGATAAAATTTGTCTCACAATTTTTGTCTTTCGTTATGTGCTGTGCTTAACTAATTTGGTGAGTGTTTCTGGTGAATCACATTATCTGGTTTTGACTTATCACCAAGGCAAATTTTTCTTCCCTTCCGCTAAATGGCAAAATTCTGATTAGGACTATTTCATTAAATCATAAACAGGAACTGATAACCTCCTCTCAAAAAAAAAGTAAAACCTTTGAAATATTGTTGTTTTCCTAGAGAAATTCCTCAGAGAGGAGGAATGAGACCTGATTTTTTAAGTTGCCCACTTTAAGTTATTTGTGTTGGGCTGGGTTGTAAGGCTTTGAGCTAATTCTGTCTCCAGACTTCGCAGACCACACTTCCAGCTGTTCGCTGTTCCATAACTTAGTATATTTTCTTAGTCTTATTATTTTGACGCCTGTGACTCAGTTTACCTACCTAAAATGGGCTGCTTTTTTACTCTATGCTATATTTTATAAAAGTGAGGGGCAGGGAAAGAGAGGAGGCAGCATAATGAGTTTACTTGGAGCTTGTAAGTAAATGTTTATCAACGATGAGAACTTTTCTATATGGACGAATGACTAATTCTCTTTATTTTGGTCTTGGTGAGGCCTAAAACTTCTAGGTCGAAGTTGCTCATTGGGAGGATGATTCTAAATCGTTTTTCCTTGGTTAATTTTCCTATCGCGCAGGTGAGAACAACAGCATGACTGGAATGGCGATAGCCACTTCTAAAATGTCCATTTATTCATAGCTCATCTACTTCTCAAAAAGAAATTGTGGTAAGTTACACCAGAAATGGAGTTCCAATAAAACAGAGACTCATCAACAGAAGCTAAAAGACAACAGACAAACATGAAGTAATAGTAGTAGAAAAATTTATATCAATAAACCCTCGCAAAAAGAATGCAATTTCCAGCTCTGAGTTTTCCAGCAGCCAGGCAAAGAGAGAAAGCCCATGAACTACAGAGACCTCCTCAGCTCGTCATGAAAACCACGTGGGTTCTTTAAGGGAAACGACATTTTTCTGTCCCTGAGCTCCTCCAGGTGGCGTTTGTCTGGGGCAGGGCGTGTGGGAGGCAGCCAATGAATTGCCGGAGAAGTTGGCTTTCGGTAGAGCTGGGGACAGCTCCCCTGGAGGGGGACTGTCTTTCTGACTTTGGCTGATGTGCATTCTGAGCCAGGAGCAAAGGAGAGTCATTCTTTTCCTCTCTGAGCTCGGGGAGGGATAAGCAAGGACAGAAAGGAAAGAACAAACTCTTTGGGTCATGAAGAAGAGTTTCCTATGCCCTGAAAGCAAGTTACAGCAGCTGACTTGAAACCACCACATAGAGGAGCACTAGAATTTGGCCAAAGGAGTTGTTTTCACCAAAGACCTTCTTGCTCTAAAGGTCAAGGAGCCCAGGACTCCATACTTGGGAGGGCCCATCTGCTGAGTGGGCCCCCTCCCTGGAGAAGGCCAGTTGAGCTGCTGCCAGACTCCATGCCAAATTCAAATGAAAAATGAGGGTTTTCTAGGAGATTATTGTGAAAAGGTGAGAAAAAAACTAAACCAGCTTTGCAGGAGCTAAACAGTGATATTTCGAGTCAACCACACTTTACAAAGCCGGATGTTATTTTAGACAACATAAGTGTAATCACTCTTTCTATCCAGTCTCTGATATTATACTGTACTGCAGAGAAAATCTGCTGATCAGTTTTAACGCCCTTCTCTGAGTTGTCAGATAAAAGGCCACAGCAATCGGAAGAAATTTATCTTTAAAATGTTTCTATTATGCTTGGTGACAATGCCGTTTCCACTGAGGACTTCTCTAGTATGTATTTTTTTTCCTATGGATGAAGCAGGAATCAAAAAGGACTTTCGCTGGGCCTCGGGAGAGCAAAACGGGCATGCAAACACTGAGCCTGGCGGGGCGTTAAGCTCTGAAATGCTTCAGGGAGCCGCTGGCGCCGTGCACGTGCATCAAGGCAGGGATCTTTATAGTCTAGGAAATTCATCACAGCGTGACAATTTGTGCCCGGCTCCCAAACGGAGCTCGTCTAGTTCTCGCTCTTGTTTCCCCTCAGTGGCCTCACACATTCTGGAATGTGTCTTAAGGGGAGGAATTCACAGAGGTTTCAGACTAAAGGAAAAAGCAGCCCGCTGATTCAGTTCGCCTTGCCCCACACTGCGCCTTCATTGTAGGATAATGAGGCCGACGCTCATGCGGCGTCTACACTGTGCAGGCACCAGGTGAGTCACGTCACTCACATCACTGCCAACCCTCACTGCAGCCCTCTAAAAATAAAATAAGTTTTCTTGTCCTGCCTCAATTCATGCATTAAGCTGGCACTCATTCAACACAGTTTTGGAGGACCTATAGTGCAGGATGGCAGACAAAGTTGCAGATGTTGAGGACCCAGTGATAAAGAAGATATGGCTCCCTGCACAGAAATCGGAAAACCAACCAGCAAAAAAGTTAAAGGATCTTGCCAAGGAGGGAGTAGAACCAGAGGGTGATGCCGTTTGTATACTTCTAAAGCTTGCACCGCTTCCTACGCACCACGCTGCTTCCCTTGACTCGCTCCGTCTTCTGAGCTGTGAGTTTCCTGAGGTTCAGAGCAGTGATTTGAGGCTCAAGGCAAAGTTTGCCACATCTTAACTGGATGATCTTGGGAAAACCATTTCACTTCTCTAGCTTCAATGATTTTATCTGTAAAATGAGAACTCTAATACCAATCCCATAATGATATTCTGAGGCTTAAATGAGATTGTGTGTATAAAGCCTTCAGCACTGTGACCAGCCCGTTGTAAATGCTCCCGAAATTTAAAATATGATTGTCATCTTCTTCCCTCCGGCTTTCTCTTACACTGAGGGACCTCAGGGCGGTTGCTTTCACCTAGAATTAAAATTTCTTCCCTGGCTGGCTTTGCCCTATGGCCTATCAGAGTTTTCGTTCTGACCTAAGGTGATACTTGTCCTGCTTTTGCTGTTTACACTAGGGGTTTATGGGAACAAAGATGGAGAAATGTCTTTGTGCTGAGAAGCAGTGTGTGACCTTATATAACATTATCAAGAAGAGAGGCCCCAAGAGAAGGACTCTGAAGACTTGAGTCTTAGCATCTTTGATTCCTGAGACTCACACAGGAGTGAATTACCACCCTCTGTCCTTCTGTCTGACTTTCTTTTTAGACTGGGGAATACCTCAAGGAAATGACTCGGTCTTATTTATCTTTGTTGTCTTAGTGTCTGCCATGGTGCTCAGTGTACAGTTAGTGCTGATTAAATATTGTGGAATGAAAGATTGAAAAGTGACCCCCAAAGTTCCATTTGTTTGTTGTTTTAAAATGGGTACATTTCTGTACTTTGAAATGACTAGAAAAACATATGCCAAAATGTAAGGTGGAACAAAGTTTTTCTCTGGGTGCTGGAATTTGGAGGTGATATTTTTTCTCTGTGCTTTTAGAATTTTGTGCATTAATAACATTTAACAGCAATTGATGTTATCAAGAAAAGATCTTTGGACTTTACTTGTCGGGTAGAAGAGTTTGGTATTTCTAGATCAAAAAGTGACATGATGAGAGCTGAAGCCTCTGGAAATCCAATGTGATGGTGGAGTGAGTGCAGCATCGTCCTTGCCCCACTCTCCCCAGGCACTGAGCAGACCACCGTTAATATGCCTTTGTAGTTCAAATTGCGTCACTCTTTCGTGGAGCTCTTAGCTCTTTGAAGCCTTTACTGCATTCAACCTTCCAATTAGGGAGCCAATATGACCAATCTATTGGACAGGGATCAGAAAGATTATGCCTTTGACCAAGTTTTAAGGTCCCACATTCTGCTCTCCTATAATCTAATCTTCTATACCTTAGCTCAGAGTGGTGACTTATTCCCGCTCCCCCCACCATGCAAATGCTTACTGATGTGAACTGATATGAGCAATCAGCAGGAGCCAGGATGCCTAACTATGTTTGCTTTACAAGCGATGTCATTCTTAACGGCTTGAGAAAGTTTCATTCTTTCTTCTTTCCTCCGCTGCAACTGACTCTCGTCACTGGTTGTCCTCAGCAAGGATCTACATACTCTTCTGTGAAGGTGTGTTTTGTAAATTCTGAGCTCTGTTACTTCCAAACTGGGCTGTGATGTTGCTGTAAAGTTTATGAGTCACTGAAGAACAAGTTCAGGCCAATCCCTCCCTCGTGACCCGACAGGTTACTTTGAAAAATACACACTAAATCATCTTGCGGTTGTTTGGGTCTCCACAGGATGACAGCTGTGCCCCCTGGTGTAGGGTCAATGGCAGGCCAGTAGGTTATTTGGCCTCTTGGGGATCACAGGCAGCACAGGCTCACCCCCTCGGGCCACCACAAGGCTCTTTCTCTGGCCAGAACTAATTCTTGGGAAGACAACACCCTAACGCAGGAAGAAATGAGTGGATCTCACAGGTGTGAGGAATTTATAAACTGAGTTAGTCTTGACTAGATTTTATATCTCTTTTAATAAATTATTAGTGATAGCATGAACTAGATTCTCCCAAACATATAGTTTATTATTTGGTAGTAAGTTAGGCAATTTGGGGAAATCCATAAATCAAATAAATTAATCTCTGCTAATGCGTTAGCCAACAAATGTGTCGTCTTTCCCAGACACATGTTTTTGAAGAGTTGGCTTGAGCATGTGTCTAAGACATCCTTAAGAAGTGATGCTAATGCTGGGCTTCCAAGTCCTTCAAGATATATTTGGTCAGAGGACATTTTGGGAGGCACCAAATCTCATCCTAGAAGAGACTTCCTAAAATGGATCCTTGCCTGACATCAGGAAATCATCTTCTCAGGCAGACTTTTCAGAAAATTCAGAGTCAAGTCCCCTGGTTACTTTGGATAATTTTTAATACATTCTGGAAATTTTTTTTTTTAATAACATGGGAATAATTGAGCTAGCTCACTCCATGGGCTTTTAGGAAGTTTTAGTAGTGTAGTGAGTTGAACGGTAACTCCCCAAAAGTTAAGTTCACTCAGATCCTCAGAATGGGACCTGACTTGGAATAAAGGTCTTTGCAGATGTAATCAAGGTGGGGATCTCAAGATGAAATCATCCTGGATTATCCAGGTGGGCTCTAAATCCAATGACAAGCGTCCTTGTAAAAGACAGAAAAGAAGAAGACATGGAGACGCAGAGGAGAGCGCCATGTGAAGACAGAGAAGGGTTGGAGTTTTGCCGCCACAAGCCAAGGAACACCGGGAGCCACTAGAGGCTGGAAGAAGCAAGCAAGGATCCCCCCAGTGCCTTCAGAAGAAGCTTGGCCCTTGGTTTCAGACTTCTGGCCTCCAGAACCCTCGACTAAATAAGTTTCTGTTGTTTTAAGCCACGTAGTTTGGGTGTAATTTGTGTAATTTGTAACGGCAGCCCTAAGAAACGAACACAAACACATTCTTTGAGGTTCCCGACCACAAGTGCTCTAAAAAGTGGCAGAATGACTGGGGAGTGTGCATTGTTTTCTGAGAGGTCTAGATTTGCTTTGTCTGTTAGGGTTATATCAGATTCTCTTGGCACCCAGGGGGCATCAGTATGTTTTAACTCGCCCTGGAAAAGACCCACAATCCAGTACGCAGCCGGCAGTTTTTGATAAAGGACTGATTGTGAATGTAATAAGTTCTTTATGCATTTTTTGAATAAGCAAACAAATAGTCCCTAGCCCCTTTTCCACTGGGAGTTCACCTTCTTGAAGAACCTGAAACAGGGACACCAAAGGCATGAAGAATATTTAACTCCTGATTGCAATGTACAGCCAAGAAGTCCTGTTTTGTTATCAGTTCTCTGAATCTCTAAGAGATTAAACATTTGATTAAACATATTTCAGCAACAGAAACTACTGAAATGGCTTTTGAACTATTTTAGTCACGTAGCTGTATATTTACCTTCCACACAATGAAACAATATCCTCTACTCTGCTCGTTTGTTTATGTGCTTGAAGGACCTAGGCTTCTACGTGTATTCATTCCACTCTTTCTTGAACAACAAGGAAATGATTCAATGCAAGAGATATTTGGCCAGTGCCTACTATGTGTCCTGGACACTAGTAGAGCTGGGTGGGTTACAACAAAATTGAAAGGCAGACTACACGTGCTTCCAGATTCATCAAGGAGGTAGAAGGTGCAGGTAATCCTTGTGTCAAAGACACCTGCACTACCCAAGACAGACACCTGGAGAGACACCCAAGCACATGTCACTATGCACTGCTGATTTCCCCCTTTTCTCTGGCACCTCCTTCCTGGTTTATTTACCAGGCCTCTACCTCCTCTACCAGCCATTAACTGGAGGAGTCCCACAAGGTTCGAGTAGAGCCCTTTTTCCTTTTCCCTTTATTGCTGTCCCTGGGCAAGAAATCACATACCCACTAACACTCCAGTTACTAACAAGATCCGCAGATATGGATCCTCTGCTCAGAGCTTTTCTCTGAGCTCTGGATACTCCATACAACTGCTTGATATATCTTGTATGTCTCAAAGTTAGCTCACTTTCAACATGTCCAAACAAAACTCATCATCTTTGACCCTTGCCTCAGATCTGGCCATCCTTCAATGTTCCCCATGCCCAAGAATGACCAAGACAGAAACCAAGGAGTTGTCTTTGATACTTCGCTCTTCCGTACCTTCATCTCTAAACCACTACTGACTCCCATCAATTTTACCTTCTGAATTTTTCCCAAATTCATCTGTTTCTCTTCATTTCCACTATGACCTCTCTAATACATGTTATAACCTAATCACAGGAGTGACTTCCCATCATCTTTGCCATATTCTATTGGTTAGAGGCAAGTCACAGGTCCTGTTCACACTGAAGGGGAGGAGGTTATAAAAGCACAATACCAGGGAGCCAAGGTCATGGGGCCATCTTAGAATCCTGCCTATCATAGATCTCAACTCTAACTGACTTCCACAGGAAAACCTCCCCCAAGCCAAGAATTGGGTCTAATCCCATTCTTACAGGCTTTCATCGCACCATATACCCCTTCTTCATAGCATTTATCACAGTTGAAATTTTAACTTAGTTATATGATTATTTGATTAATATCTGTCTCCTCCACTTGTCAGACTCATGAGGGGCTGTTGTGTTCACCATAGCACCAGGCCTGGGAGCATTGGGGAAGCTCAAAACTGTCTGTTGAACAAAAGGAGAGAAGAGCCATGGAAGCCATCTATACTATGTTGTCTTGATCCTTCATGCAAAATCAGAGACAAATCTCACTTCTGGGCTGCTTACTTAATGGGTTGTCTCCTACCCTTGCTGCAGGAATGCTGTTCACAATGGACCGATGGACATTTTATTGAAAAAAGAATAGAGCCAGAGAAGCTAAGCTTTTATCTACCACCATGGAAACAGGCGAATCATGGTTTCTCAAAGTCCTAACCTCAATAAGCATCCCAAACTGACAATTGACGTTAGAGGAAGTCGAGGATAGAGTGATAACCTGGAATCACCAATAAAAGTTATTGTAACTGATTTATTTTCATCGTGTTTTCTGGGATTTCAGATTAGCTTGTGTTCAGAGGATCTATGCTAAACCATTGACAGACTTAAGTTGATATGACTGTGTCTCATATAAGAATTATAGCCAGATTTTCATGTTTGAGCAATTTTAGAAAACAATCAAACATTTGCTTGGTTACCTGTGAGGTACCCAGATGAGTCTTCCTTTTTCTGCGAATAGTGTTCTCAGTGATGGCTCAGTATCATAGGATCTTCCCAAGCTGCTTTGTGAAGATGGCTACACTAGCACCTCCATAATCATCTCTGGCAATTGTGGAGCACTTAATCTGTGCCAAGCCTGCACCAAACACTTTAGGTGTGTTATCTTGTTTACTTATTATAATCCCTATAAGTATGTACCCTATAATAGTGGTTCTCAGATTTTAACTAGCATCAGCATCACCTGGAAGGCTGTTAAAACACAGATTTCTGGAGCCTGCCCACAGAGTTTCTGATTCAGTAAATTTGGTGTGGCGCCTGAGAATTTGCATTTTTAACAAGTTCCCAGGTTTGGATACGATGATGCTGCTGGTCTGGGGATCACACTTTAACTGCTCCACGAGGTAAGTATTTTCATTCCCCATTTTACTGATAAAGAAACTGAGGCTTAGAGAGGTAAGGAGGGTCACATAGCCAGTAAGTTGTGCAGCCAGGATTCACATCCAAGTTGGTTGGCCCAAAACCACTAGGTAACACTGCCAGAATCGAACATTCTTCTAAGCCCTAATCAAAGGCCCAGAGATGTCGGGCTAAATCAATCTTTAGATAACTTCAAACATTCTTGATCACATTGTTTTGGTTTAAGTAAGTAGTCATATAGTCACATTTTAAATGGTTATTTCATTAAGTTTCAGCATATTAAAATCTGAAATTATTTAAGAGTTCATTAAAATGACAGTTTGAAAATCTTGATCAAGAATCATAGAGAAATCCAAAAAGAATTTGAACAGGTTGACTCCGGAAGAAAATCTCCCATTCAGTTCTCATGGAAAATGAAAGTAGATTGGTTAAGATCAGACAAAAGCCTAAGTCAGTCGTTTTCTTGATGGGTATGAGAAAGTTCTGGCAAGCACAGAGGAAAACTCAACATCATTATGTTCATTCTCCTTGCAAACCCATACCTGCAAGCTTGTAGTTTTGAAGTGATAGAAACTGGAGGTCAGAGATAATTTTCAGATCTGGCTTAAATACGACCTGGCCTGTGCTGTCTATATTCAATGACCAGAAGTGGAACTTTCTTTCCATGTCCATCTTCCTTTCTTCCCCTGGTGCTAACCGTATCCCAAAGGCTTCCAGCTGGTTTTCCAGCTCTGGGCTTGCCTCCCTAATGATAATCAACAGAGTAGCAACTTTATCTTTCTTCAAACGATGTTTTTTTTTTTTTTTTTTAAAGATTTTATTTTTTCCTTTTTCTCCCCAAAGCCACCCAGTACATAGTTGTATATTCTTCGTTGTGGGTCCTTCTAGTTGTGGCATGTGGGATGCTGCCTCAGCGTGGTTTGATGAGCAGTGCCATGTCCGCGCCCAGGATTCGAACCAACGAAACACTGGGCCGCTTGCAGCGGAGCGCGCAAACTTAACCACTCGGCCACGGGGCCAACCCCTTCAAATGATGTTTTTGCATGATTCTCCCCAACTTGTGAGCTTACAGAGGCATATTCAAGATGTATCAAGACACATCCCTTTTCCTGTCCGTCCCTCATCTCACCATCCTCACTATTCATTATTCTTTAATGAAATTTTTGTTCCAATAAGCAAATCTGCTCTTCCTAAGCCTTCAACAATTTACTTCTGCTCCCCCGGCCACCCCTTTTTGCCCTTTCTACTCACCAATTCTCTACCTTCAAACTCAACTCAAAATCCCCTACCCCTGGGCAAACTTTTGTGACTGATTTCATCTAACTCTGGTATTGCTCGTTGCCCTTACTAGGCCGAATTGGCAGTAAATTAGTTTATATGTGTTGAAAAGTTATTATGTATAAGTATTCTTCAGCCATTCAGTTAGTGTTTTCTATCTCTCCAAACAGACTATAAGCCCTTTCAGAGCAGAGATTGTCTTTTTTTCTTTTGTTAAGTGCCCACTGGACCTCATTCATTCATTCATTCATTCCTCATATTTTCCTCAAGCACTTCATATATTTCAGGCAGTGGGCCCACCCTGTTACTTTCAGGCGAAGTTTGATGGCTTTCATAAGCCCTGCACTGCCCGGGGGCCTTCTAACCTAGAGCTTTGGACTTGGGTATGAGCAGTTGTCAGTTCTTTCCATTTATTTTTGGGGAAGTCTGAAATACAGAGCAGGAAAAGACAGAAGGAGACTTGCTGGGAAGTCAGAGTATTTTTGTGGTGGGGGGCTAGGTTGGAGAGGGTGAGGTAAGGGGAGTCTTGACGAAGTTGAGTTGAGCGCAGCATAACATTTCTTATCAGGTATCCTTTGAGCAAATAGTAAACAAAAGAAACAGTTCATTCCCCATAGTTTTGCCTAATGCAAGGGCAGATCTACTATATTTTCAACAGGCAGAGGCTAAATAAGTAACGGAAGTCCAAAGAGAGTGGCTTTCTGAGTTCATCCCACTTCGGAGTTTGATGACTTTGAGTAGCATCTTTGATCCTAAGTGTCTCTCATCTTTGAAAAAGTAGATATTAGAAGTGGCACAGTAAGAAATTAAAAGTAAGTTCCTTAAACAATCATAACATTGTATATACAGACGTTGGCATTGTCTATGCCTGTCTGTATATAAGATGTCTATACAGAATGGTTACAAAGGCAAACAATTCAAAGCTCAGTTAGAAATTGGTGGAAATGGGAGTATAACAGAATTCTATGTTTTTGCTCATTCTAAGCAATTTTTCCTGCAACCATAGAGGCGAACCCTCCCAGTATAGAGTGCCAAACACTGCTAGACAGTTTCTGTTCCTTTGTTATTCGTCCTGCTCTTTGGCTAGAATGGTCACGTCACCCCAGCCCCCTGAGAGCGGCAGGAGGGGCCAGAGTTCCTGGGCTTTGGTGGATTTGTCCTGCCTGAAGAGGATGAACACAGAGATCATTGGGAGACACCTTAGAGTCAGAGCCGAGCAGTTGGCAATCCTCAGAAGCTACTGGAAGATAACTTTATAGAGAGAACTAGGAAATCTCTCTCTCAGGTGTTTTCTCAGTGTTCATCTTTTTCTTTCTTTTCCTGTTCCCTTTCTGCTCCTTTATCTGCTGCCAACTTCACCTGCCTCACCTTTGTTTCACGGGCCCCAAACCACGCCACAGCACTCACTCACACTCACCCACGTCTCCTCCCCTCATTCCATTTCAGCTAGAGGAGCTTTCTCGACATTAACGCTTCCCTCGCCTGGAACTCTTCATGTAACCCAGCTGATAGGCAGTTCTCCTTGGGTTGTCCTCTCCTCCCCTTCCAAGGCTGAGGGAAGAAGGCAAAAAGCCCGGTGCTGGCAGAGGCAAATTGGCCACCCCAGGGAAGACCGGGCTAATGTGACAGCCTCAAGCAACAGAGAAGGTAACTATGTAAGGCCACTCAAACAGCCCGTGCTGCAAGGACCCAGGGTCAATTGTTTTTACAAATAAAATCTATAGGCATGGTGCACTATGGGGACAACATATTTTACTTGGTAATCTTGTAAAGAATGACATCTTGTTCTTCTTTGACATACACCACCAAAAATACAAAGTAAAACTTAAGTCTCTTACTGTAGTAAATTCCAAGCATGTTCCCATCATATTTGACGTAAATATTTTAGGTACATTATTATTAAGACGAGAGGAATATTTTGTTATTAAAATTACATTGAATTTTTTAAAAACTTCATTGTTGAAAACTAATCTATGGAGACTAGAGCAGTAATTAACTAGGAAGGAATATCAGGGAACTTTCTAGGGTAAGGGTAATATTTTATATCTTAACTTGGGTTGGGTTTGGGTTATACAGGTGTCTGCATTTGTCAAAACTCAGTGCATGTACATTGAAGATGTGTGCATTTCATCATGTATAAATTTTATTCAAAAGAAAAGAATATAAAATACGATAAGGAAAGTATAGAAATATGTTAATTGTAAAATCTGGATGTGGGTAAATGTGTGTTCATTGTAAAATTTTTAAAACTTTATGTTTGAAAATTTTAGCAATAAAATGGAAAAAATTATTGTTGAGATAATTTTACATCATCCATCAGCCAAATGTTGTCATTTTGGAATATCCCACTTATTCTAGCTAATGGACAAAACCAACATTATTATACAGCTCATTAATGTTTTATTTAAGAAACATCACCTGGCCCTGTGTAGCCTCCAGAAAAAATTATTATTTTTAGGGGCTGGCTGGGTGGCATAGTGGTTAAGTTTGCATGCTCTGCTTTGGCAGCCTGGGCTTCACAGGTTCAGATCCCGAGCGTGGACCCACATACCATTCACCAAGCCATGCTGTGGTGTCATCCCACATGCAAAACAGAGGAAGATTGGCACAGATGTTAGCTCAGAGCTAATCTTTCTCACTTAAAAAAAAAAATTCTTTATGGAAATGATGTCTTTCTTCCATTGTACACACATTGATAGAAAATGCTAGTTTTGAGATGGGGGGGAAGTCAGTACTGACATATATTTTCCTATAATCACTGCCATAGTAATCCTATATTAATTTTATCTGTTTAAGATATTTCTATGATTTTTCTCCTGTATAATGTGAAAAAATTTAAAGAAGGTAACATTTGAACTGGGTCTTGAAGGATGACTAGGAGTTAATCAAGCATCAAAAAGAGAGAAGGAGAATGGGTGGTTTCATTTATATATCTCCCGTAGTACCTAGGCAAGTAAATGCTAGATGAGTGTTTAGTCCGAGTTGCCAAAGTTCAAAGGTCAAGCTCCTAAACAAATTGGAAATGAACCAATCTGATTAGAAATAAATTGTCATTTTACTTGGTAATCAAATGTCAGTGTAAGGAATTCTGAGACAATGAGAAAACTTGGATGTTTTTCCAAGATGTGTGACCCTCCTTAGAGAAATGAGACCTTCTATCAGGAAGCCAAATATTATGGTTTGCTTGATTTTCTTAAAATAAATATTCCAGACTTAATTCATCCAGATGGGTCAAAGTGATATTCCTGGGAGACTCAGGTGTT